GAGAAATCGAGTGAATATCCAATACCGTAAGAATATGATATGCAAACGCTCATAAAAATTTAATTTGACTTTTTTATACATATTTTTTTTTTTTAATAAAGGTATATAATTTTATAAGGAATCTTGTATTACAGTTTAAAATCTTAGATTTAAAGAGAAAATTTTTTATGAATTTCGAACTCAAAATAATTTCCTAATTTTCGTCATTTTTACGTATTTTGTCAATATTTGAACTTTAAAACCTTATAAAAAATTATTATGATCGTGATAATGGATTTAAAATTTTTTTCATCCGTCTTTGTAACAATATACTAGGAACCTTCTATTAAATTTTCAAGCTTTTGAACCCAACAAATAAAATTTTATTGATAATTATAAAAAAAAAACTAAAAAATGGAAACTGAAAATGTCCGTAAAGAGCTCAAATAAGTCAAAATTGTATGGTGTTTTAAAAAATACCAATTTAAACATTCAGTCCAAATTCCATGTATCTACGATCATTTGTTTAATAGTTGCACCAAAAACCAAAATCAATTTATTCGAAAACAGATTTTGCATAAAACTTAACGTTTTTCCTTAATTTTTCTTTTGTTTTTCACCGTGCTTTTGAAAACTTCTGGGAAATTTTTACTTTTAACTCCCCAAAGTACCACCTAGATCACTAGATTTTTTGGTAACATAATTAACTACTTACGTGGAATCTTGTTTTAAATTTTCAATTAGATATAAAAGTTGAAATCGCTTCATGAGAAATCGAGTGAATATCCAATGTTATAAAAATTTGAATTTCAAACGCTCATAAAAATTTAATTTGACTTTCTTATAGACATTTTTTTTTTGATAAAGGTAGATAATCTTATAAGGAATCTTATATTACATTTTAAAATCTTAGATTTAAATAGAAAAATTTTTACGAATTCTTAACTCATAATAATTTACTAATTTTCGTGATTTTTCCATATTTTGTCAATTTTTGATCTTTGAATGCTTATAAAAAAAAACTGTCATTAAGGATTTTTAATATTTTTCAAATACCATAGTAACAATATAGTAGAAGCCTTGTATTAAATGTTCAAGCTTTTTTAACCGACAAATAAAATTTTATTGATATTGTTAGAAAAAAAACTAAAAAAAAAAAATGAAAATGTGCCTAAACAGTTCAAAATAAATCAAAACATTTTGAAAATGTTATTGTGTATAGAAAATGCTAATATAAAAATTTAGTCAAAATGTCATGTACCTACCTACGGTCATTTGTTTAAGAGTTGCACCAAAAACCAAAATTTCCCGTTTTTCATTAATTTTTATTTTGTTTTTCACTCCGCTTTTGAAAACTGTAAAACACTTTTGACCCCCCAAAGTACCAACTAGATTCAATTTCCTATCAGAAAAGCTACTGTTGAAGAAAATCCAAGCACTTTTACTGTCCTAAAACGTGATGACAAACACAAAAAAAAAATTTAAAAAAAAAATTAGAAAATTAAAAAAAAACACACATCATTGTAAAATCAATACATTCATCGTTTCACTAAGAATCTAAAATAAAAAACACACATCATTGTTAAATCAATACATTCATCGTTCCACTCAGAATCAACAATTATAAAAATATAAACTAAGTATTAAATATATTTATTTGGTTTAATCTTTGTATTGATGTGAGTTTTTGATTTTTCCATTATATTATTACATACATTTCTTAAGAAAGTAAGGGAGACTGGCTTAATATGACATACCACTCTTTAATTTTTAAAAAAATGAAGGAAATAATGTTAGTTAACACATGAAACTTGAGCAAAATATTTGTATTTATATTATCCACATATTTCTGAAGTATAATTGTAAATTTAATACAAACAAATAATTTTAATTCACTTTTTTTTAAATGTACCTACTTTGTCATTTTAAACGGAATGTCGGGTAAAATGACATACACCATATTTGTATAAGCAACCATTGTATACTGGGGAATATAAATAAATTATAATATTTTTAGAATTTAATAGTTTAATCAATTTTTTTTATTATAAATAACAACATTTTAGAAATATATTTTAACATAATTAATATAATTGTACGAAGAATGCTTCAAAGGACAAGCCACAAGCCGAGTATGCCTCGACAGCAAAATGGTTAATTAGGAAATTTTAATTTTTGCGCCTGAAATCAGGTTTGATAGGCAACCTGACATCTACGGTGTGTCACCTAACGCCTGAGAAATTACTTGTCATATGTTGCCCCCTGAAATGCCACTTATAGGCAACCTAACATACGGCTAATAGGAAAGTGAGATTTTCCGGTGGGAACGAGGAAGGTACAAGTTAGTTATAGGGGACGGGAATGCTCTTTGATCGGTCAGGTATGGTGCAATGACCACAGACCATTTACAAAATTGTGAGAGGTTCTTAAAAGTAACTTAAACTACTGAAGCTGAGGTTGTTGCCGTTGTTGACATCTCGACGACCTTGGGCAGGCTCTCACACACCCCCTGCGGGTGCTGGTGGACTTACGCTAAGGGTGAACGAGCAGAATGCTAATAGAAAGTGGATTTACTCAATTCAGGATTCAACTAATGACCGGGAATCTCCACGGTTTGAACGACGCAACTCTCCACCGCAGGCTAGAATATAATTGAATTCAAGTTTAATACAATCCTTTATACATTGACACACTTGTAATCTACTGTACAGCAGAGCGACATCCACTTACCTGCTTTTTTTTGTATTAATTTGTAATATACTTATTTCTAATTTCTTATATTTATGAGTTATTTATTGTTTATTCTAAATTAAAATATTGATAGCTGTGTTTTTTAGTATTTTGATACGTTTATAATATGTTTATGATATTTTTATTGAAAATAAGTTGTTATTTAAATTTGCAAAAACTGACACAATGTAACATTGTAAATTTATTCATTAACTATGATTTTTTTAAATGTTTTAGTTATTTATTATTTGATAAATAAAGACTGCTTATAACATGTTAAAATATTTGTTATGGTACTTTAATAATATTAACTCATATTAAACAATTAAATGATCACTTATAATCACGAATTAAGATAATATACTGGATACGGAACGGGGCAGGTTATCCGTCTATAAAATGCTTCGACCATATAAACTAAGTTATATAACTTAGTTTATATGGTCGAAGATAAAATGAAACTGAAAAGTGCTAAGACAATCAGCTGCTGTGTCAAGAATACTAGCGCTCTCTAGCTGTATTATATTCCCACACTTTTTAAAAAAATATATTATATGTACAGTAGATTCTCGTTATGTCGAATCTCAAGGGGAACAGAAAAAACTTCGAGATATCGAGTTTTATTAAAAAATAAAAAAACTAATATAAATGTATGTTGTATAATTTATATGAATAATAAATAATACGAATGCCTAAAGGATAAAATACATAATTTGAATAATAAAAAAACTAATATAAATGTATGTTGTATAATGTATATGAATAATAAATAATACGAATGACTAAAATAGACTAAAATTTGAATAATTAAAATACTGAAATTACTGTACTATATGCAATGTACTGCACTACTGCACAATTCCTATGTTAACCGTAACAAAAATATTATTTGTGAACTCGAGATAACGAAAAACGATTAATTTTATATCGAGTTATCGAGAGCAAAACACTATTAAGTGTAATAGTAGTTTCAAGGGGAATTCAAAGTAGTTCGAGATAACGAAAAATTCGAGATAGCGACGTTCGACATATTAAGAATCTACTGTATTATTGTATTTGATTTGTGTCACAAAAAATGTGGGCAAGAGTCAAAATATTTTGAAATTGATATGATGTATTTTAAAATGCTAATACAAACATCTAAATAAAATTTAAAATATTTGTGGCTATAAGTTTTTTAGTTGCATAAAAAAAACTAAATCTATTTGGTCGAAAACTGCTTCTGCGGTTCTGCCTAAAAATCCGATTAGTGTATTCAGTTTATTACATTCCGTTCCGTATCCAGCTAGTATATCTTAATTCGTGCTTATAATGTAATATTAGAGATTCTTCATTTATTTATGTTTTGAAACCTAAAATTAAAACACAGTAAAAGCCAATACTGAGGAGGAACAAGTGCACTTTACCAACCCATGCAAAATTTTTTGATTTTTTTTTTTTTTGAACTTATGTAGCTCATTGAGTTAAGAACGATGGTGCAATCAGAATTTGTCGCTCTCACTTAGTTTCGAAGTTATGGTCTTCCAAAGTTTTCAATTTTACGTCTTTACGCATGCGCGCAACACTACTCTATAATGCCGCGAGGAGGACTATTTTTGTTATTTTTTTGTACTTACGTATTCTAACCTGTTTAAAACGATAGTGCAATAATAATTTATCCCCCGATTTGCTATAAAACACCTCCCCAAGAGGGTCACAGGGTTAAGAAAATTGCATTTTTGTTGTACCGAGTCACCGAGCGGGGTCACTCGCTCGGACAATTAAAAATATTCCTCTCCTGGAAGTTGAAATAGTCAAGCTGGTTTAAATAAATTCTCGCATCATACCTATAGTAGGTACCTATCTACTTGATAATAATTAATTATAATAATCATTCAATTATAAATACGATTTTAGATTATATTATATTATTAAAGAAACTATATTTTAATACACAATTAATATGTTATTACGTCAAGACGTCAAGTGCTGCGTTCTAGTGAAGTTGACCTCTCTTAGGGCCGATTTCACCAACACAGTTAAACACGGTTAACTCATCTTAATCACGATTAACACTGGTAACCAGAGATTATGGATTTCACCATACCCGGTTAAGCATAAACGCTACGTAATCACGGTTAAGAACTAACCGCCCGATTTCGGCCGATTAACGTCGTTAATCACAATTAGTTTCCTTATCAGCTTGTTTTATTGTTTTTGATAAGCATAAAAAAATTCGTTAAATTAAAAACTCTAGTCGTACTTGGAGATTCGAATTTGATTCATTTGTGTCTGTTATTATTTCATATTCAATGCATCGTGCTAGGGAACGTGTAATGAATATTGCTTTTGAAGATAACGACGACGAAGATAACGAAGATGAGTTTATCATCTTCGCAATCCGTCGTCCTAGATGGATTCGAGAAAGAGCTGAAGACTTCGACACTATGGACGACACCGATTTTGTTACCAGGTACAGATTAAGCAAGCCAACAGTTCTGTCGATGCTGGAGAAAATAGAGGATGCACTCGAATTTGAAACTGATAGGTTAGTATATGTGTTATTAGAAAATACTTATACAAGAAATACATAGGTAGGTACCAGTACCAAAATTTAAAGCTATCTATTATAATATGTAAGTACTAAATTCTAATATATTTTTACTTTTCAACAGGAATAACTGTATTTCTCCAATAAATCAGTTACTATGTACTCTTCGCTATTATGCAACTGGGTGCTTCCAAACCACTGGGGGGGATCTCTGTGGCTTTAGTTCCTCAACGATGAATAGAATAGTACACAAGGTTAGCTGTGCTATTGCGCTTCTACGTAGTCAGTACATTCATTTTCCTGATAACCCAGAGGAAATTAGACGGACACAGTTGGAATTTTACCGAAGAGCCAAGTTCCCGAGAGTTGTTGGTGCCATTGACTGCACTCATATTAAATTATGGCAATCACCAGGTAACTTCCAATACTTATCATGCCTTTTTACTAGTACTAGTCATAGACTCAAATTGTTCCTAAACATTGTGGTCCTTATAAGCACTAGCAAACACAATATAACAGATAATCATCAGACCCCCTTGAGCCTTTAAAATAAAAGTAAATTACAAAAACAAAAATGTTTGCTATATATCAGATATATTTTATTAGTGACATAGGCGCCAGGTTTTCAAAAATCTATTTAGTGCTCTTACCAATGTCAAGTATTCATTAGGGGCTCTTCCTCTCTCACTCCCTATACTAAATTGTCTATAAAGTGGCAACAAAACATATTTACAATACAATATAATACAATACAATACAATACAATTTATAAATATTAAGGGGGTAAACTTTAAGTTTGAAGGTGTTAAAAACCCCTGTGATTTAAGCTTATGTTAGGTACTAGTAAACAGCTTTCTAAAGGTAATTTGAATTTTTGAATTAAACATAAGTGGTCATTTTGATTTTTAGGTGGAGATACTGCAGAGCGTTTTAGGAATAGAAAAGGGTACTATTCATTGAATGTCCAGGCAATATGTAATGCAAATCTGGAGGTTATGGATGTAGTTGCAAGGTATGATGGAAGCACTCATGACTCAAGAATTTTTCGAGAAAGTAAAAGAAGAGCTTTGTTCGAGCAAGGAGTGTATGGAGATGCACTATTAGTAGGAGATAGTGGCTACGCCTGCACTAGTTACATGATGACACCACTCCACGAATGCCATACACCAGCCGAACAATTGTACAATGAGTCGCAAATCCGGACGAGGAATCCCATAGAAAGATTCTTTGGTGTTTGGAAACGACGTTTTCCCGTCATGGCTTTGGGGCTAAGAGTGAAACTTAAACGTGTTTTTCCTATTATCACTGCAACATTAGTTTTAAATAACATTGCCCGTAGAGCAGGAGAGGAAGTCCCTAGAGGACTTGAAATTATACTACCTGCTCCTTGGGAAGAAATACTTGCCCAGGACGACATCCCAAATGAATATATGGACATACCAAACCCCACACAGCGTAGGTTAACACACCAAAATCGTGAACGGCAGGTGTTAATTGACAGTCATTTTGAGAGGTAAATGAAAATTATATATACCTATACCTATAGTATACCTGTATATTTATTAAATACTAACTATTTATTTATTTATTTTGTTGCATACTCAGATTGGCTGCACAGGATCAACAATAATACTTCCATCCCCAGTTGTAATATAAATATATTGTAATACATACATTTCATGTGTATACATATTTATTTTTTTTTTTTTTTTTTTGTGTATTTATTATTGTTCACTGTCTATTTATAATATTAAAATAGAAATCCAATACACTACTCAACTTTTGTTTTATTTAATCAATTCGTATCTTGTATTAAAACAAATTTATTATATTTCAACTTGATATGAAAAAAAAAAGAGGATTTTAGAAAATTGGATAAATAATGAAAGATTTAAATTAAAATCTGTACGACTGAAACTAGAGTATGATTAAAAAATAATAGTAGATAATTGTACGCAATATATATTTATTTAATAAGTTCACCAAAATTATAATATATTATAATGTATACATGTGTACACAATTTAAAAAATAAAACAATTTTTTCACTCAAATTAATTTGAAATGAAATAACAACAACTGGTAGTTAAAATTTTAAAAACAAATAATATAAACAAAAACAATATATCTTATTCATAAAAATCTTTTATCACATAAATATTTTTTTGCAAACTGCAAACAGTCTAAATAGTTTTTAAATAATAATAATTGTTTAATATGATAATAGAACAAAACAAAGTCAGACTTATATAAATTTAAAATATGTTTAAAACTTTACTTTGAGTCATCTTTAGCATACAACCATTGCACTCCAGTTTCTCTCTCTATCTGAATTCTTATCAATTCAGTTTTCATCTCTTCCTGTTTTAGCTTCTCTTCTTCCTGCTTTTTTTTGAGTTGTAATATCTCTATTTCTAATTCATGTTCTTCATTAGCATTCATACTTGCTGAATTAAGTATAGCGACTCTAGTTTCAAGAAGAGTCTGCGAAGCCGATGTGGATAAGACTGGTCTTCTTCGGGACACAACATTTTTACTGTCTCTTGGACTTTTAAGTTTACTGGTGACTATTGGAGTTGCTGGAACAGGGGACTGCATTTCCACCAATGTGTTGGTGATGAGTGGAATCCTGCCTGCATGGGTTAGTGGCTGAGTTAATGTTTGTGAAGGCTGGCGGAGAGCAGTAGACACTGGAGCCTTCAACATAGCAGGGCTATACTGCGACCAATCATATCCTAATGTCATGTTGTTTTCTTTTTCCATCAGAAATCTTTCATCCTCATCTTCTTCATCCATTTGATTTTCCACGTCTTCAGTCACAGGTGCTGATAATGACTTATCTACATATTAAACATATTAATATTAGTAAATAATGTAACTACAATTAAAATAATAATAGTATTCATAAGCAAATTTACTTGCCTGTGATTATTTGACTTTCGAAGTCTGCGTTGTCATCAAACATGTTATCAAAGGCTTCGACATGTGGTCGAATTAGCCCCACAACTGTTTCGACTATAGGATCGGCTAAAATTGTCTTAGCTTTACCTCCTCCTGTAAAAACCGTACATTTGTTTACAAAAATGTGTACAATGTACATGTTGTATGACGTGTAGATATAATACCTGTGCCGTATATGTTATCTGCTTGCGCAGCAATTGCCATCTTCGCCTTTCTCTTAAGGTTGTCCCACAGCGTTTTTAAACTCTGAGAGTCTCTATGACATGTTGATGATGCTGCGGCAAATTCTTCAGCAATTCTGTTCCACTTTTGGCTCTTCAGTTTCATATTTACACCGTCAGTCTTTTTTGACTCGATCACACTAAAGTGTCGAGTGATAATCTCTAAAAACATACGTTTTTCCGAGTTGTCGAAAGTACGCTCTCGTTTCCTCTTTACAGTTTCCATATTTAAAACAAATCAAAATGACCAAACAAAAGTTAAAAAAAACAGCGGAGTGCGCACTGATTCAAATAAAACGATGCTTACGATACTACGATGGTCGTAGGTCAATGGACTATAATAAATAACCTAACCAATGTCCAATAAAGATTAAAGATGCTGATTTTACTATTATCACATTATCGTAGGCCACAGCTGTTTGATAGTACCCACAGAATTCTGTGATAGTACCTCTAATCGCGGTTAGTAGAGTTAATCACGGTTACCGTAATCGTGATTTGTGGAACCGTGATTAGCATGGTGAAATGCAAATCTAATTTAATCACGATTAACTTGTAATCTTGATTACTGTAACCACGATTAAAGCATATTTGGTGAAATCGGCCCTAAGTCCCGTGTTTGTTCACTCTTTTATTTTTTATTTAGTAGTCTCACGAATAAGAAAAAAAAATCGCGAAAGACGTGACACATGCGCTCATGCGTAAAAAAACACAAAATTGCTTACTTCCAAGGGCCATAACTTCGAAACTAAGCGAGAGCGACAAATTCTGATTGCACCATCGTTCTTAACTCGATGAGTTACATAAGTTCCAAAAAAAAAAAATCGAAAAATATGCATGGGGTGGTAAAGTGCACTTTAGCCACTGTGTTTTTAATTTTATCATACTATTTCATCCACTACGATTATCAAAATCAAAACAAAGTAACTCTTAACTCCTTGAGAAATAAAAAATGACATATTATTGATATCAAAAAATGTAGAAAATGGTTCTAAGACATTGATAAGTGAGGTTTCAGGTTTAAATTTGATGAGATAGATAGCGGCCTTTTGGTATTTATTTATCAGTTATCATGCTCTCCTGATAAATATTGAAAAATAAAAATGTTAATTAGTACTTACTACTTAGTGTTATGTTTTTGGATAGCCGACCGGTATCTCTACTTTTTTAAAAATGTTCTTGTTGAAAACTAGTGTAATATGTACTGATTTGATTTTTGGTCACTGGACAGGACCCGGGACCAAAACTTCACTAATACACTAATCATTATCATAATAAACAAATCAAATAAACAAATATAATCATAATTGATATTTTAATAATTACCAATTAGATTGTAGGTAGCGACCAAATAATGATAATTTTGGCTACGCTAACAGGAAATGTTTAGTACCCTATAGTATATTTCGGTATCTAAGGCTTAATGTAGCGACGCTACGTCAATCGCTACAAAGAAAGTAGCGTGCTACTGTAGCATCTCTACAATTAGCTCTCTACTCCCGAACACTGCGTGGAATATTGTATACTTTGAAGAGGAAAACTTCGTCGAAATAGTGCCTGATTATTGGTTTAAAAATAGTTGTTTTGCGTTTCCGAAAAAGAGTAAAAAAAATTATAAAAAATTTGTTGATCGCTGTGTTGAACCTAATGAAATAGATTTTGACTATTGTCTCACAATATTGGTAAGGACTATAACCAATTATTTACCTGGTTTCACTGTTTTAATGTTAATATTATTATTTTAGTTAGTTCACATGAAACTATTGCTAAAGAAACATCAGAATTATCTACTTTTGAAAAAGAAAAGTCAACTCGATGTGAACGGCACCGTCTACCTGATTACTCTTATAACATTAAACATAAAGAAAAAAACTAATATGCCAAAGCAGTCAAGAAATAGAAATTTTAATGAAGATCCTCCTGTACTCAGGGGTAGTGATGGTAATACATTATTTTATATTTTAATTTGCTTCATAAATGTTTTATTAATTTATAGTTTGGTGGAAAAGTTAGTGACTGAATATGTCTTATATAATATTTTCAATGAATAAAATCCTCAGTTAAGAAAAAAATTATTTTTTAAATTTTTCTAAAGATTTGTTATTTATATTTTATAATTTATAGTGGTAATTTATAATGGAGAGAACTTTAAAGACTATGATGACAGTGATGCAGACAAAAATCATCTTCCTGATAATTATAAAAAAATCATCATTCAGGTATAAGATTAAATGCTTGCATGATACTTTACTTTTATGAATTTTTATATAAAATTATATCATTCGTTTTTATTCTTCTAAAATGAACTGGTTGTGGGTTTATACTAAAGCTGAGACATTTCTTATCAAGGATGTAATATAGGTACCTATATATATATAAGTTGTTCATCTCAATTGTTTTCAATAACTAAGTAAACAAAATTTAGGCATTGATTATTTTTCTGTTATATCTAATAATAAAAAGCGTCTTTGAAATTAAGATGGTTGTAGAATTTATGGATTGTTGCAATTATACTACTTGTTAGATCATGTAATTTATGGTTTTTTTTTAGTTCTATTAGTATTTTGTTTATATTTTTATATATTATTATTATTTTATTTTATATATTTTTATATAGTATATAGTATATAGTAAATAAAAAGTTTTAATTCAATTTGTTTTAATTTATTATAGGTGATGTAGTAGATGATGATAATGTATTAAATTCTCCATCGGGGAAATGGAATGTATCTAAAATAGATAATAACACCATGATAGTTGGAACCATTAAAAAAAAACTTGACTTTACTAATACACATACACCCAGTATATCCACATCTTCAATTAATAAATCACCATATTATTCCCCAAGTCTAAGAAAACTAAAAAAAGGAAAGAAATACTTATTAATATAAAAATTTTATTGAATTGTCCATATTATTAAATTTAGTTACAATGAGTCTTTTTTATATGTTTCTATTTCAAGTTTCATCTAACTGAACATCAGACTTTGAAATTATTGCAAATTATGAGAGACAAGGCGGAAACTAAAAATCACTATTATCTTTGCCTAATAGTAATAGTAAACAATTAAGAAATAATGGATACTTTGAATCACATTTGTCATCTCTCACAAGTAACCATTATTTTTAATTTAAAATATACTTATGATAAAGGGTATTTATATTCTAGTTTTTAAATAATAATCTAACCTTAGTGATAAAGTTCCTTTAATTTGCTTCTGAAATATTGAACTATTAAATTATTAACATACATAGTTAATATTATGTTTAGTATACACTTCAAGTTATATTGTTTATTGTAAATTAAATAATATTTCTAATTTTACAGGTAACAATAATGTGAATAAGAATTACTCAAATTCTGAAACAATTACTCGACACTTATAATATAATATCTATAAACATTCTGTTGTCTATTTTTCTTTATAATAGTTTATTATAACACC